GATAAATAAAACATTTATTTATTATTCTATTTCATAAAAATCTTTTGATTTTAGAATGTGAAATAAAAAGAGTTTTAAATTATAAACTATACTTAATGATACAAAATCATTAGCAGAATATAATGCTGAAATAATTGATCTTAAAAAATCACTTAATCGAACAATATCACATCAGAAAGAAGAACCAACACGAATAAAAGATCAAATTGATGAATTACAAAAACCATTAGATATAACTGATAAATATAAAAATTTTATTTTATTTGAATAGATAAAAAAAATATTTCGAAAAACAATAGAAAAAGATAAAATTCCATCAACAAAAACATTTGAAATATATGCAATGAAAGAATGTTATATTTACAATTATTACGCAAACAAATTGATGAAAATGATGAAAAAATTAAAAGATTTTCAAATAAATTTGCTTTATTTATTTTTAAAAATTTTTATTTTATGGAAATAATATGTTAATGTAATATTTCAACAATACTAAAAAATGACTAACTAATCCATCCAATTTATCAATAAATAGAATCAATAACACTAATTGAAAACGATAGTCTTTCTCATAAATACAGTATCTTTCTTTTTATGCTTTTCTTTTTGCAATTTCATATATGTAATATGCATTATTCACTTCAATTGTTTATACATAATGAATAATTTTTTTTGTGTCAGTATTAGAAAAATAATATAATATGAGATTTATAGATGTTAATATTTACTTTTTATAATTAAATAAATTATATTAGTCATTTCATGGAAAACGGACATGTATCTATCCTTCATTTAACTTTGATTCTTTATAAGTACTTTTTTTTGAATAAAATCTATTAGCATAGACATATGTAAAAATATTGAATCTTTCAGCTGATGCTTAATTAAAACTAATTAATTAAGAAGTAATTAGTGACTATCTCTTTAATAAGATGAGAAAAAAAAATACAAAAATTTCGGGATAGACTGTACAGTATGAACTACATCTATAATGAAATTTTCAGGAAGATAGAAATCGAAAAATTCTTCTCTTAAAAAACAGTTTTCTAGAGATCTCATCAAATCCAAGAACAAAAATCTCTGTCTTATCATCATTTGAAGATTGTGAAGGAGAATTTGTACAAGTATGAATTTATTTTGAACTTCTCGTTCAGTTATAAGAGTTTTTTTCATTTGCATATTTGTACTCCATCAAACCCTGAACGAAAAATAAGCTGAATTTTTTTTGAAAAATCTAGATGTGCGCGGAAAAAACTTTGGATAGGAATTCTGTGACTTTAAGAGTCGTCCACAGAATGTACCGTTTAGTTTTTTAAAAGTTCTATCTCAATGCGCAGACTTTTGAAACTGAAACGCATGCAATGAAAATCGATGTCCTTTTTTGCGTATCGTCTCTAATGCTATTTAACTTCTGTGAACAACGATCTATAGGGTTGATTTTTTCAGTGTATTTAGAGTAGCTCAGCATGCATGTGACATATAAAAACTAGCTCTAGACAAGTTCATTATCCAGAAATATACACATTTTGATTTTACAAAGTCACGTCTCTAACAAATGAAGTGGCCTATATACATTGTAGTCATGTTATTTTGCAACGTTTTCTATTAACACAATCATCATCATTTAAAATAAATCAAACAACTGCTCTACCTGTTAATACAAATTTAAGTATTGTATAAGCATCAAATCATTTTCCAGTAATTTATGTACCAAGATTAATGCCAAAAATTAAAATGACACTTAGTTTACAAGAATTACGTGAACGACAAAAAGTTTTGTATCAAGCAGCAGCAACATCATAGTATATGACTGATATATCAGTTGATTTTGATAGAATACAATATGAACTTGATATGCCAAATGTTTTCGCATCATTTGAAAGAATTGTTCTCCTACATATTTGGTTTTTACTTGTTCTTTATGTTCAATTAGGTGAGATTTTTCTAGATTGTTGAAGTTGATTCAATATTGGGCTATCTGATCATACAAACAATTGTACAATGGACAATGAAACTTTTATGAAATCTCAAAAGAAAATAGAATAACTACATTATGCAGTCAAATACAAATCTCGTTAATAGGAATTTCTCAAAAATTGATTGTTGACTTATTATTTCATTCAATTGATGTCGATAAAATTGACATTTTTCAATTATTAAAATTTATTTTTATAGATCCAACTGATGTATTTCTTCGTCATCAATTAGCACGTACAATGTGAATAGATCTTGATTTACATGCTCAACAAATTCTTTCAAGTCAAAGTAAAACTCATTGTAATCAATCAGAAGAATTATGTTCTGAAATGGATACATTTATATTTGTATTAGATGAAAATCTTATTGATGATGATACTGTATTAACTGTTGCTACATGGAAACATTTTTGTCATTTTCAACCAACTCCACTAGAACGTCTTGTTACATTTGTGACATATATAAGAAAAAATATTCGATATTTAGAACGATTACTTCATGAAAATTTTATGAAAAATGATTATATCTATTTTTTACCATTATATGATGATTCTGTCAATATAAAATCTGCTAATTAACATTATCTTGATTTTAAAAAAATAATAGAGGATGAATTATATTATTGTATTTTAGATAATTCAGTATGGATAAAACATTTGAACGCGTTTAATAGATGAAAATTTTGCACAAAATATAGAAAATGTTTTGGTAATTGTATGCAAAATAGGAAAAGGGTGTGGGTGTGGGTGTGGATCTTCTCTTCAAAAGAACCCACACCCACACCCTCAATATACTCAATCGACATTATTATTAAGAATGTGGGTTATTGGAAAACCTGTTAAAATAAAGAGCAGTCGAACAATTTCGATACTTCTCCGAGTAAATGGATGATATCTAAGACAAACTTATACATCATCGACTGATCGAAGTATGTATTTCTGTAGAGAAAGATTAGAAGTATCATCATAAAAAAAGATACTTCGAAATGCATGCATGTAATACAATATTATGGTCATATTACTAGTTACTAACCTTGAATGAATATGTTCGTCTCACATTTTTTGAAAAAAATAATAAAAGCAAATATATTTTTTTCTCACAGGATTTTATTATGAGATCTATCATTTTAATGGAATAATACCCATCATATTTGTTGATTATGATTGCAGTTTTTATCAAGCATGAAAAATGTTACTTAATTCAATTGAAACTCAATGAAGTACAGAAAATTGATCCGACATAGAAAGCACCAACGTACTTGTGAACTTGTCTTGATAGATACTGTTGTAAATTCCTCTAGTTTTTTGTGAGACAAGGAGATGTTAAAACATTTTTTCTTCTTAAAATCACTCGACTGCAATCTACAAAAATATTGGAGAAAATTGAAGTTTTTCTTATTATAGCAATAAAAAAAAGTCACACTCAACAGTTTCAATCATTATCGTTCAATATCAAAGTAAAATAAATAGAATAGTCGATATCAGCACAAAAACTACATCAAAACATTCCGATATGCCTTTAGTTTATCAGGAGTGTGTTTCTCGCGAATACGTTTTTTAAGCTGTAATATCTCTGATCTGGTGTAGGTTTTTGTGTTGATTTCGAATATACTATTCAATTTGGTCTAACATATAGCTAGAATGAAAAAAAACCAGCGAAATACACCAATTCATTTTTCAAAATTCCATATGATGTTGTGGTTGAAATTTAAAACAATCTAGTTTCTCAATACTAAAACAAAGTTAAAAAACTAAATGATATAGAGACATTTCATGTTCGACGTTCAATGATTCTAATAAGAGATGACAGTGGGTCTAAACTCTTCTCATTAAAGAGAGACATATATTCATAAAAATGTCTATTGACATATGATTGTTTTCGTAAATGTCCAAATCCAACTCTTATTTTGAGTAGATATCTATACCTATCCGCTAGTTGAACGATCTTTTCCTAAAATTTATGGTAGAGTTACGTTATCTGTCATTTGATCTATATAAATAGTATAGAATGTATAATGTGTAGTCGGAATATAGGGTTTCATATAAGACAAACAAGCCAAAAAAAGAATTTCTTTAACTTCATTGAAATCAGAAATGAAATGAATAGAATAGATCTTTTTCTTTTTACCATATTCAACCATTTCAATTCATTTTCATTCCAGTTATCAACAGGCAAGTTCAATAAAATTATGTTTATGAGATAAAATATATTTAACTACACTTGCGATAATGATCAAATTTCATACGATTTCATGTACGCTTAGTCCGAGTTTGTTGAACAAATGACTGTACCTACGTTAATGTCTAATAGAGAGTGAATGAAAATTAACCACACTTCATCAACGTAAAAAATTAAAAGAAATTACATGACAATGAAGAAATGAACATTTTCATGAATTAAATACCATAATTGTATTTTTGATTTAGAAGTCATGAACGTGATGAAATTTTGTTGATTATCGGACTCCATGTTCAACTAGATGATAACTTTCTAGTAAACTTTGTCAAAAAGATGAAGTCCTGACATTCTAATTTTCAAAAGAAATTTTCACATGATTTGCCTATTTTCTATCGATAAGTTTTGAGATGAACAAGTTAACATGTCAAGATGATTTTTTTTAGATTTCAACTACGCACAGAACTTTATTATGGTACTCGATACCTATAAAACGTTGGTTATGTGAAGATGACATTCGCAACGAATATTTTAGTTCTAATTATACATGAATGTAGTACGAGAATTGTAACTTGCTTTCGAACACGGGACTTTTTATAACCTAAAAGATGATATAGGTTCTCTCTTGCAATGATACACTAACAACACCATTAGATTCAACATGTTTAGGGGGGTAGACAAAATGAAGATATATAGTTTGAGCTTGAGGCATTTATCAGCCGCTGGTTTTTATCATTAATCTATGATCTTCGATCTGATAATAGATTATGCATAACTTAAATATCTAATATCTCCTTCTAAGTAAGCCAATGACCGCTAATATTTTAACCTTGCTAGTTTGGCGGTGAGAGCTTTCACTTCACCCGAATATGTCTAGCCGATTTAACTGACAACACAAACATCTCCATTGGAAGGGCTAAAAATTCGTAAAGTACTCAAAGATTTCGGTCACATACTGGTAGGGCGGTATCCTGAACTCACTGTATTCTCTAGGATAGTTTACACCGCTTATGTAATAGATCTATACTATAGAATTTTGTCTTTCTAAAACGAGATATGATGTTTCAAGACGAACTTGCTTTTGGTCTTTTTTCTAGAAAATGCATCAATTGATAGAAAATGTTGATAGAAAAAATATCCTATGAATAAAAAAATATTAGGAGACTGATTACTGTCTTTCATTGTCGCTACATTTTATGAAATTCATTTAGTAATTATTATGTTAGACTCAGTCGTTGCATGATATTTGTCGATTGTTCTATAATAAATTGATCTATTAATAGTCATGATGAAAATTTGAAATTTAATTCAGAGATCGATTATGAGTTTCAGTTCGATTGTGATCGATAACCATTTTCCAAATATGTCAAAGAATATCAAATGAATACTTTCCAAGCAAAGAATAATGCTCAACATGATGAACTTTTGATTGAAAATGGTTTTAATCGTTTTTAGCTTCATATTTCAGTGAACTTCAAATCCATTTAGTATATTTTTTCTCATTTATGAAAATTTTCATTTTTTTTTTTTGTTTGGATCAATCGATTGTGAAACTACTGAAGACATACAAAAAGTAACAATGGGTATGACTGAAGAGAAAGATTACATTCTCACCCACATCTCTGTTCTGAAACAAACATAAAGGCATAAATTCGACATAATTAGCAAACGACATGAATGCTTGATTCACTTTTTCGTTTAGCTTCTATGTGTATTTTCTAAAAATAAGTTCTAATTTCACAGTTGATGAAACACCAAATCTATTGTTTTTTATATTAGACTGTATACAATTTTATTAGATAAAATATCATGCATATGAGATAACGAAATCAAATGTCAATCGTCAAGTACTACTACTCAATTCTGCACTTGACTCTGAATGCGGTCAACGTGAAAATTATGCATAGCAACAGCTAGTGGACTTAGTCAAAACAGATAGAAGCACATGACAAAAAAACATAAATCGGAATCTCATATGATAATACGTATAAAAAAAAAAGTAGCAGTATGTCTCAAATCTTTCCTAGAGAAAAAAAAAATTCTTCGATAAAATTGAAAAAAAACACAAACAACTTAAAATGGATAATTATTTCAAACATGATATGAAAATATTTTAAAATAAATGAGAAGAAAGAGTTAATTTTATGGAATAAAATAGGCTCATTTAATGCCTTTGAATTTACATGAGTTATCTTTTCCTACTCATTACAACTAGCAGCGATCGATATATTATTAGTTTAAATGACACTTTTGGCTTACTATATGACAAGAAGGTTTTTCTACGACTGATCTGATTTTTGCTTCAATATCATGTTTGAAGTCATTTCATTACAAATTCTGTGAAAATATTTTCGGATAATCAGAAAAAAAACAAGATTTAACCGAGATCTGACATCAAAATTTTACTCTATCCGACAATTGGTATTTGAAAAATACTAATGCTTTCCGATAGTCAAAAAAGACGGACTGCTGACACTCGAATAATGTTGGAGGATTAAAAGATTCTATATAATTGTTGTTGATCTGAGAGTTCGAAACTTTTTGTTTTTTTTCTGATCCTCATTTCAGACTATTGTTATTGAAGTACACCCACCATCATATTTGTTTTCATCATTCTCTTGTTGAGTAGAGAAACACGTGACATTTTATCGAGTCAATACTCTAGATGAAACACATTAGAAACCAAAGAAAAACACAACTTGCACCATCATCAAGCCATACTTAGTAATTTTTTTTTCGTCGTTCTGTTCTTCACGAATATTCTATATTAACAATTGATTGTGCAATACCATCGTAAACTATATAAACTCGTGTTTTGACAGTGTTTTTTTTGTATTCCAATTTTGATCATCAACTGCATGTTGTGCAACAAAAGCACACACCCAGTGGCTTAACAACCAACTCGATGGTAGATTGGAAACGTGTGCTCTCGCTAGGGCAATATTTGCTTATGCAGTGAACAAATTCATACTTCGAATTGACTCGAACTTTCTATGTTTGAGTTAGAAACCCGGCTTCCGGCGTGCTCCGATCACAATGAAACCCTGCTATCGTCGTTTAATACCGACGCTTTGGGTCGATCGGACATGTCGAAGGCCACCAATATTGAGATTATATTTGTTTGTGTTGATTATATTGAATTACACAACAATATATGAAATCTCATTGGTGTACCTTCGATATTTTCAACATTTGTCTACGAAGCCGAGTATCGAAGAGACGAATATTATCATCCATAAGACAAATACTAGGCCCTTTCTGAGAGTACATGTTTTTAATCTATATGAAAGATACAAAAATTATAAAGGTAAATATTAGATAAAAGTAAGTATTTTCAGTATGATTTGATGCTAATTATAACAATTCGATGCTTGTATTATTTCACATATAATTAAAATGCTAG